GTTTTCTGTGTTACAGTCGCGTGCTCGCACCGTAATGTTAAGAAAATAGCATCCATTGATGTATCGAAAAAATTCAGCGAACTATTTGATGAACACCACGGGCCGAGTAAAAACCGAGGGCGGAGGAGGACGGCGGAGGAGGCGGTGGCGCGCCCCGGCCACCCGAGTCCGGAGCGGGGAGAAAACTAAATAGGTGCGCGTCGCGCGGCCGGCTGCTCCCTGTCCTGCCCATCTCCCCCACCCCCGGTCAGGTGCCCGTCGGCGTTCCCCGACCGCCCACCCGCCGACCCGCGCGTCCGCGCATTCGTCGACGCACCGTCCGCCGAGTCTACGCAACTCTAGTCCAGGCCGGGCTACGGCCGGCGTCGGGGACCTCTCCCCTCCGTCGCCATCGCGACCCAGCCGACCTCTGAACGAAACACCCAGCCGCCGGGTACCCAACTCTCTCGCCGCCGAAAGGGGGGTTCAATGTCTCCTTGTTTTATGTTTTATGGTTATTTTGTTTAAATTTTTGATTGAAACACACTATCTTTTTTGTTTGGCCTTAGAGTGGATGAAAATGTAAACTGGGTACATTGAAAAGAGGTTCGAGAGTGTGTGTGTGTGTGTGTGTGTGTGTGTGTGTGTGTGTGAGTGTACGTGTTGGTTACTCTCTAGTAAACATTGGACATTTGACTGCCTTTAAAGAAAGTGCATTCATGGAAGGGATTTTCCTCATGAGATTGTGGGGTGAAAGTTGCAGTTCCCTACTCTTGTGTACTGAATGGGAGGCAACATTGGGGAAATACTTAATATTTTAATGTCATGGCTTGCAACAGCATCTGGAAAAAAACCCCCAAACAAAACGAGAGTTGCGAGTAGGTTTACATAGCCCTTACAGCCCTGGCAAAGTTTGGACACTGGCACGTTAAGACACTGGCAAATTAGAATTGGATTATTTTTTTTTTAATGAAGTACATCAGATGAAAAGCTATTTTGACAAAATATGTCCCGTATAAAAAGCCAAAAATTAGGCAAATTTTGAAAGGACTTTTAAAATGGCTGACTGACTTTTGAGTTTTGAGTCAGGCCCTAGAGACATTTTTTGGTCTTGGGCTGTTGCATGTGCTTCCAAATTTTGTTTGACCTTGGTGAAATGTTCAACCAGGGTTTTTCATTTAAAATTTTTAGAGGGCACAATGGAACATTTTTTAAAATTGCAAAATAGTTATAAATTGACCAAGCGTGATGTGTGTGCCAAGTTGCACATGTATGTAAGACCATCAAAATCAGCATAATTTTTCTTGGCAATAGCCACGTCGCCATGGCAACAGCTTTTGGCAAGATAAAAAGCTTTGTTTTTCCTGGTTGTCCTGTGCCGAAAAGTCAAATATTGTGTTTATGTGTCTATGCAGCGTCCTCATCATTCGCCCCTCAGGTCATGAGGCGTCCCGATATTTTTACGTAAATTTGAATCACCCAGTAAAAGTGTTCACCAGTTGGGCGATCGCTCACTCTGCTGAATGTTTGTCTTGGACATTTTCGAAAGATTGTTAAAAGCCAACAAAAGCAACATCCTTGGATCAGTTCTTTACAAGACGCCAGGCAAGAACCACTTCTGAGAGAGAACATGAAATAAAGACGGCAAAAAGACCGATGAAAATGACCATCATTTTTATTCTTTACTCTGTTCTTTGTTTTTTTATGATGCACAACCCTCATTTATTGTGCAATAATCTAATTGTAACATGTATTTGTTACATAAAAAAAATGTATGTCTGAATTTTAGGGCTCTTGGAACGAATTAGGGCATTTACATAGAAAACGCGTCTCTACTTAGAAAATTTTCTAGTTAAATTTCTTCCATGACATATTAATTTCGTCAGTAGAGGTACCACTGTATTGAAAAAACATAATCGATATTGCGATAATGGCCTACGCAATATGCATATCACAAAGATGCAATTTTCTGCTCAAATTCTATTCTTTGATCTGAATTTGACCAATCGGATGTAAACTTACCTCGTCTCCTAATATTTGGGCATTAACGAGGGGAATTAAATTCAATTAGCTAAGAACACATTGAGCTTGCTTGTTTTGCCCCATGAAAAAAATTTACTTTGTTCCTTAGATAATTAAAATGTAATTTCTTTATATACATGTTAACGTAATAATGTCAATATTGCTCGAGTTAACATCCAAATCACATCTCACGTGTTTTTCCAATATATTGAGGCCCTAGTTCACAAACACTTTCCTTCCACTGTACATGGTTACATATCAATCTGCTGATTTTATGGGTGATGATTAATCAGCCTGCTGATCAAAGTAAAGTTCTAATAGATATCTGCTTATTTTCCATAGGCTTCAAGGCTCTCCTGCGTTATGAAGGTTTTGATGTTGACAGCAGTAAGGACTTCTGGTGTAATCTTTGTATCCCTGAAGTTCATCCTGTGGGCTGGTGTGCTTCGAGCGGGAAACCTCTTGTACCGCCAAAAAGTGAGACTGATCCCATTAAGCTGTACTTGTCTTCATGAGATGTCTTTCTTTTTGTCATCCTTGTACAAAGTACTTCCTGTATGAGTATCAAAACAATATCTTTTGCAGGCATACAGCATAAGCATTCGAACTGGAAAGCATTTCTTGTGAAGCGTCTCACTGGAGCTAAAACACTGCCACCCGACTTTAATGTCAAGGTGAGATGGAAACGGAAATTAACCAGCAACTAGTGTCTGCATATATGTATGTGAATATATAATATACTGTACAATGCTTTGAAAATATATTTTTCTTGTTATTTTTAATATATTTCTTTCTTATTTCAGTGTTTTATCTGCATACGTTGCATCTACATTTTTTGGCTATATGCTGTGCAAAAGCAATCAAGTAAAATTCTGCATAAATAACCACGAGCGGGACATACGGTACCATCAAAAAGTATTTGCTCCACTGTGAAATAATTTTTTGCAGTTTGTCCACTTTAATGCTTATCATTAAAAAAAAAAAAAGATAAGATCAGACAACGACAACATAAGATTTGATTTATTCACGAAAAAAAATATTCTAAACTACCTGATCCGGTTTGAAAAAAATACTTGCCATCCTTTTTAAAGGGGGAAGTCAGCTCAGGGCTCAGGCAATGACCGATCACGCCTCACCTGGTTTCTGGGTTTGCCTCATTCATATCATACCAACGCAATATTAATCAGAATAATGTGTTTAGGCTACGAGGACGCACAGAACATATTATTGGAAAGAACATTTTTGGGTTCACTTGTTGATTTACACACAGATCATGGTGAGTGATATTTTAAATCAATATTTTTTTGGGGTCGTTCTTTGAAAATATGCTTCCACATGAAAATGGCTAGTGGCACTAAAAAGTTTGGGGACCAGCGCCTTTATTTACAAAAAGTGTGCGTGCGTGCGTGCGTGAATATTTTCTTCTTCCTTGGGGAGCGTAACAACGTGCACGAACACACACACACAAAATAATACAGTGGTGTCCAAACTTTTTAGTACCAGTACAGGTGGTGGTATTTTTCCCCAAAATAGTACCATTAGATGTGTCACCGGTCTCATTTGGGCCTCATTTGTATACTTTCTCATTTTCATCTTAGGTACATGAAAATACACAGTTCCCTTTTAAGAAGCTGATGCGGGTAGAGGTGGTGGATAAAAATTATCTTTGCCGGACACGAGTGGCCTTGGTGGAGCAAGTCATTGGAGGACGGCTCAGGCTGGTCTATGAGGAGAGCCAGGATGGATCCGATGACTTCTGGTGTCACATGTACAGTCCTCTAATTCATAATATTGGATGGTCGCGCAGCATTGGACATCGCTTTAAAAGATCTGGTGGGTTTATGACACCGCTGTCTTTGATGTTTTCAAAGGATTGAATCAGAATGAGAGAGCATGACCACTTGTTTATGGTAGAGTCAAGAAGACAGATAAGTGTGAAATAACTAAAATTAGAAACTGCCAGGGAAAATGTTAAACCTATTTCACAGCACACCCCATTTTTATGATCCTCCTCAAAATTATGTATTAAGTTTTATTCACACACACAATAAACATCAGCCGTTTGGGCAAGGGTACTTGAATACAAATTTTAAAGGGCGGCAAATTATTTTATTTTCTTTTTCAATTATTCAAGAGTTTCATTCAATGAGGTTGGTCACCTCACATGTACCTTTCTATAATATTTTAAAAAATGTATTTTTCAACCAAAACAAGAAAAAATATAAACTGAAATAAAATTAATTGTAATTATGACATATCGTATTTTCCGCACTATAAGGCGCACCGAAAAGTCTTCAATTTTCTTAAAAGCTCACGGCGCGCCTTAAAATCCGGTGCGCCTTGTGTATGGTCATTACGGTAATATGTCGACCCCAAGATGGCTCCTTGCTGGAGACATGCTTACAATGTTATAACTTGCTGTTGGTTCAGTGAACTGTGTCGCTGCTTTATTAAATACGTTTTTGTTGCAGCTCCGAAAAAAGGAGAGCTGTGGTGTTGTTTTTATAAAACACATACTTTATGAATGTTTTTCACAGTCTCAACAAATACAGGTACGTCTTTGTCCGTCTCCGTGCCTTCTCTTCTTCCTTCGACTTGAGAGGCGTTCATGACCGCCTCGGAAAAACATAAATTAACGATCCCTTCATTGAAATGACGAAAATGGAAAATAATTAATCAAAACAGTAAATCAAGCGAGGAAATCACAAAATAAATTCTGTAGCCCCCCTACAGAATTTATTTTGTGATTTCCTCTTTTGTGAATACAGTACACAACAAAGGAATAAATAACAAACACTTCTGAGACAGTCCAGTCTCATACAGTTTACTGACATCTGATCGATCTGTTGCAGCTACGCTCAATGAGATGCCAAAATAAATTCTGTCGGGGGGCTATAGAATTTAGTTTGTGATTTTCTGTTTTGATGCATTTTGCTGTATTTTCAATTTTCGTAGTTTCATTGACGTAATCGTTAATTTATGTTTTTTGGAGGCGGTCATGAACGCCCCTTGAGTCAAATGAAGGGCTGTAGCTCCATATAGTGGATGCATTGTAGATTGCGCCTTATAGTCAGTGTGTGCAATATATGAAAAAAATTAAAAAATAGCCCATTCATTGAAGGTGCGCCTAATAATCCAGTGCGCCTTTTAGTGCGGAAAATACGGCACTGACAATCTCATTTTATGACCAGTCATAATACCTTGCAAACATCATCAGTGTTAGTGTACCCCTCCTTTCGTTATATGGTTGATTAAATACCTCATCGGCAATGTTGCCTCTAATGCATGCATTTGAGTATTCACAAAAAAAGTTTGAGCATCCCTCGGTGAGCAACATCAAGTTACATGACGTAGATATTTTACAAAATCCGAACCATCCTAGGAAAACACGTTATTTAATTAATAAAACAGAAATTCCTCGTCACCAGACCTCTGAAACGCACAAATGAGCCTCATTCAAGGGACTCGTAAACAAACTACCCTCAGATCTGGAGTTATTGAATGGAGCAGTACACGTTTCACCCGCAGTCTCACATCAATGGTTCGTGTGACTGTATGTGCGTTAATGCTCGAAACCAGGGGTGTCCAAACTCAAGGTCTGATGTCCTAACTGTTTTCCAGCTCTCCTTGCTGCAACACACCTGATTCAAATCATCAGGATCATTGTCTTACTTCTACGGAGCTTGCTGATGAGCTGAACCTTTGAATCAGGTGTGTTTCAGTAGGAAGAGATGGAAAACGGGCAGCCCCTAAAGACCGAGTTTGGAAACCCCCGCTTTAAACTATGTGAGTGTGCACCTTCTGTCGCAACCACTGAAACTGAAAGGGAAGTGGGAAAGGATTCCTGTTTGTAGGTTAAACTGTGGTGGAAATGCAGGAATGAGTATTGAACTGTAGTGTGTGTGTGTGTGTGTGTGTGTGTGTGTGTGTGTGTGTGTGTGTGTGTGTGTGTGTGTGTGTGTGTGCGCGCGCGCGCATGCGCGCGCGCTCGCAGGTGAGGGCAGTGCGCATTTGCTCATGTCTGCAGCGTGGAGGGAACATCGCTCACCAGCCATAACTTCAGCGTGTCTGTTGGCGGTGGAATTTTAGCTGTCATTTCCTCCTTTTGTGTGCCTTCAAAGATTCTGTTACTTCAGTCATGCATTCTTCAAAATGGCTTTGTGTGCAAAATCAAAATCAATGTGTGAGGTGGAATATGCCTTCGCCCTATACTACTAATATGAGAACGTCTGAACTTGGGAAGTGAAATGGTATGGCCATTAAGTTGCCGCAAAGTCTGGTGATTTACCGTGACAATAAACGTAGCTGTTACTTGACCCAGATGATGCTATCTTTTCCAAATTTCACTGATTTAAGATGTGTTTTATTCTTTGTCTTTCTCCTTGCGGGATAACCAGATGCACAAATATTTGCTCAGAAGAGTGGTGAGGCCCGAGCAACACCAAATTTGTGTATTTTTTTGCGAAAGGCTGTTGCCGTGGCAACGCGCTGTTCAGCAAGAAAACGACACTAATTGTCAGGGTTTAAACATGCGTGAAAATTCATGAACCACACAAGCATGGGAAAATCACCAATAATTTATTCGTCGATAGTGGATTTTTTTCAAAAATGGCTCATCAGCGCCCCCAAGAATTTTTGAAATAAGAAGGCCCAGTTGTACATTTCACCTTGATCGATGAAACTATGGTGGTCTCTGAAACAGGCCAAGATCTCAAAAAAAAAAGTCTCTTGGAGCCAAATGCTAGATCTAACAGAAACGTCACCATTTTTAATTTACTTTCAAAGTCAGTGTCCCCTTAACTACAACACCTTTTGTAACTTGATCATATCTTCTAATCACATTTAATGATCCAGGTATGTAGACATCTACGAAATTATTCTTCATGGTCGTGGTAGTGCTGCCTACTGGCTAAAGGAAATATATGTTTTGTTTTCTTCTTTGATGCTTTTCTCCCAGGCGATTAAAAAGACTAACCTCATTTGCCCGGAATAGTGTTTTGGCCTTTAATGCTGCTGCCACACAAAGTTTGTAAATTTTCACGAAACGCTGTTGCCATCACAAGGAGCAGTTCGCCATTAAAACAATGCTGAGTTTGAAGGTCAAAAGATGCACAAAACTCATGAAACTTTGTCAACACGTCAGGCCTGGCAAGAAAATCCATATTTTGCTAGTCTAGTGATCAGTTTTTAATAAATGGACTTTCAAAAGACACACATACAAGTACCGTATTTTCTGCACCATAAGGCGCTTCTGAGCATAAGGCGCACCTTCAATGAATGGCCTGTTTTAAAACTGTTTTCTTATTGAGGGTGCACTACATAATAAGGCAGATAGAATAGAAGCCACAGTCGTGGCTACAGTTGCGTTATGCATCCACTTAGATGGAGCTACGCTAAGGGCATCCAATACAATACAATAAAGCTTTATTTATATAGAGCCTTTACAACCGCCGCAGCTATAACATAGTGCTTTACAGAACATTTAAAATACCACATTTAAGAAATTAGAATATTGATCCATATGTAGCTCCCTCAGGATAGAGCGTGAAACACGGCACAAAGTGCATAAAAATACAGGGTGTATTCCTTGGCAACCCAAGAAAATTTGTCACAAACATGGACATGAAACAAACATACAAATGGCATTACAAAACACTAAATGAAAGACAAAAGTTATGAAGACAATCGATTTACCAAAAAGGCACACAAACCTCATGTGCTCACATCCACAAGGGACTAAATATCCTTCGAAGTCTTGCTTGTCTCCTTCTTCCTTCATTTAGTCAATGGTTAACTAATTGGCATAACAATGGGATTATCTTCGTTTCATAATGGCTGAGCAGAGTTCACAAAGTAGTTGTCCGAGTGTGTGTTGGCGAATGCACATGTCAATTAGTGTCGGACAGAACCCTTTTTCGTTAAAATTGGTTCCTGGAACACTGACAGAGAAACAACTCAATGGGGAATATAAAGAGACTTTAACACCATATACAGGGTCAGGCAAAATGATCTGACACATTTCTAGGTTAAATAAAAGGCAAATAAAGTAAAGAAACAAAAATGTGTTTTTATTTTCGAAAACTACAAATAATGCCATTCAGTTTCATTATGTTTTAAAAATTAATTGGAGTTCTGGCGCTGCGAGGTCGGCCGGTTGATTTTCGTTTCAGTGCAGATCCAGTAGCTCTGAAGTTGGTAACCCCTCACAAGATCGTGTTTCGAGCTGATACAGGATCATGTCAACCAAGATTGAAGTGCAAACGGGACGCTCGTTGTGTTGCAGTTACAGATTCGTTTGTTTTGATGAATGTTTCCACAATGAAGGTGCGATGCTCACCAATCCAATTCATGGCAGCAACTGAAAAAGACACGAAAAACAATGGCATAATAAAGAAACAAAGCAATGATATATTACACGGCATATGTACTTTTCGAAAATAAAAACACTTTTGTTTCTTTACTTTATTTACCTTTTATTTAACCTACAAAAGATCATTTTGCCTGACCCTGTATAAGGCGCATCGGATTGTAAGATGCACTGTCGGGTTTGAGAAAATTGAATGCTTTTAAGTGCGCCTTATAGTGTGGAAAATACGGTACTTACACAGCAGGGACGACTTAACAGAGACGTGCGACACAAAACCTCTAAGTGAAGTAACACTCCCGAAACCGACTGCCTTAGTCCAATTAATGAATGAAGTGAGCAAATGAACCGAAGCTTTTTCTTGCAAAGGTCCTAGAACACTTGATTGAATAATTTGGCTAAATGACTGAATTCATGAAGGTTCTGTTGAAGAGAAACAGTGGTACAAAACACAGAGGCGTTATAAGGACTGGTTAACACGCACAACAAAAAAACACGCGATACAGCCAGCCACCTCTGAAAGCAAAGAGTCGTGAATACATCTACAAACTTATTTTATCATACTGGTAGCAGCGCGACTTACTGGCTGAAAGAAGTATGTTTCATTCTTTGAGCTTCTTCTCCCATAGGCTGAACTAGATTTGTCTCAAAAATGTGACCTCAAAACACTTCAAGACCTACAAAAAAAAGTGTCTAGAGCCCTACTCTAAACTCAAAAGGAAGTCGCCTCTTTTCAGTTTACTTTGAAACTGGAAAAATCCTCAAAATTTATTAGTTTATAAAATGTTAATGATTCAGCCCCAGTTGTATGTTTCACCTAGATCAGTGTTTATCTTTTTCGAGCCAAGGCACATTAATTTCATTGAAAAAATCCCACGGCACACCACTATCTGAAAGTGTGAAAAAAAGCTTAACCATTGTTATATTGTTACTATCAGCATTTTTTTTAACATTGAAAATTAACGCAATATTATGATACATTGAATAGGAATCAAATCAACATCAATCCAATATTCGGTGCATTCGTTTTAATGGCAAGTAAGATATAGTCAATTAGAACTTTAACTTTCTCATGGTCGGATTATTTTTTTGTGTGACAGCCGCTTCTTTTTCTCACGGTCGTTTGCGCTCTCCTGCAATATTGTACCAATCCCTTTTCCCACCTTGAGTCTTTGTATGATTCCAACATCATTCAAATGACTTTTCTGCTGAATGTTTCGCTTGAGGTAGTCTAGCTTCCATTTAGTCCATAATTTTCGCTTACAACTTTGGCATGTTTTACAGGGGTTACGTTCCAAAAAGAACCAGTGATAAGTGAAATCCGTGAAGTAGGATTTATAAAAAAAATGTGAGCCAAAGACCAAAATTTTGCAAAGGTAAATTTGGCAAGCTGTACAGAGACGAAGTGCGGAGACTGTTCACGTTGGTCAGTCCCTTAGCCAATTAGGATGCAGAACACAATTCACTGTTTAAAAAAAAGCATTAAAAAAAACTGCGCTAAAAAAAATCCGTGAAACAACGAAGCCGCAGAAGGTGAACCGCATTATAGCGAGGGATTACTGTATTGTCTCGCGTCGGAAACTTCGCTTGTATCGAAGCATAAGGCAATTTCCTAGCTGCTGCTGCTCCCTACCGGTATGGAAGAGTACTACATGATTACTCTTCCAGGCGATCGACCGCACAGGCATACAAATTGTATAATTTCCCACGGCACATGAAAATATGGTATCTCTATAGCCCCAAAGTCTCTTTGAGCCATATGCTCAACATAACAGGAGATCTGCCATTTTTAATTTACTTTAAAATTCGGCATCACCATAACTACAAAAGCCACTGTTACTTGTCCCAGATGAACGTATCTTCTCAAGATTTCATACAGTTGATGAAAGTCCAGGCCTTGAAGACGTGTATGAACGACGTGACCAAGCAGCCTGCCTGTCATTTGTTCATAAACAGAGGAGTAATGGTTTTAGACCAGACAGCCACGGTTTTCTGCAGGTCGTTACAATCCCGATGCGTGGCTGAATGAAACCATCTGGTGATTCAGAAGGTGATGATACTCTCAATGAAGGACGAATTGAATGTCATGAGAATGTTCTGGTTTACTCTCAAGTACCCGAGTTTCCTAATGAAATAGTCTGAACTTACTTTTTCTGAGGCTCTCCACAGTGTTAGAGAATTTCATCAGACTGTCAAAAGTTCTGCTCAACTATTGGTATTCCTCAACATGCTCCACAGTCTCACCATGAATTGTGATAATGCCTGCTGCAGCTAGCTCCGTTTGTTTTTTGGGGGACGTATGTAGTGAATGCGAATGCACAACTGTAGATATTGTATATAAGGGATTATTTCCCATGGACTTGTCTCTGCGACCAATCAAAATTAAAGTTAAGGTTACAATCTACGTCATATCCAATATGCAAGAGTAAAGTCAAGTTGTTTTATTTGTATTGAGCTTCGTAAAAAATAAGTCTCAAAGGCCTTCACAGGCCACCACTTGACAGTAATTGGAAAAGTCCCATGATTCAAACCCTCAACCGGAAAAAAAAAAACACCCTCATAGTATCATTTCAGAAGTCAAGTATCATGGTTTATTCACCTATTGTTTAAGTTACTCTAATGAGGGGTTTGGAAATGCTTCCAGTATCACTCGTATTTATTACAAATGAGAATTTGAAATTTTGGTTGATATTTTCTCAATTATCATGAAAGGTGACATATTTGATTTGCTGTCGGGGCCACATAAAATGATGTGGCAGGCCAGATCTGGCCCGAGGGCCTCGAGTTTGACACCTGTGGTGTAAGAGCATTTAAGAATTCAGCCGCTGGCATAGATAGATGACCACAATTATTTTTTTGTCGTACATAAATAGTTTTTGCCTCAATTAAGGGAAGTGGCAAACTAATGTGCCGCAGTTCAGTGGTTGAGAATCACTGATGTAGATGTTGAAATGTTATTTAGGAGTAGTGTAATGTACATTTTATTTTGCATTGACTGTAAATACATGTCAGATTCTCCGACTACTAAATTGAAGTGTCTAGATAGTGTATTTTCTGCACTAAAAGGCGGACCTAAAAAGCTTCCATTTTCTTAAAAGCTCACAGCGTGCCTTAAAATCCAATGCGCCTTGTGTATGGCTCCTTGCTCGAGACATGCTGATAACGCAGAGTTCAAACTTAAAGCGATCGGTTACGCAGTTGAACATGGAAATAGAGCAGCGGCAAGAGAGTTCAATGTTAACGAGTCAATGTTATAACTTGCTGTTGGTTAAGTGAACTGTGTCGCTGCTTTATTAAATAAGTTTTACTGACCTCTGATCGTTCTGTTTGTGTTTCCTTGAGCGTATCTCCATCTAGTGGATGCATTGTAGATTGCGTCTTATAATGCGGTGCACCCAGTGTATGAAAACAATTACAAAATAGGTCATTCATTGAAGGTGCGCCTCATAATCCAGTGTGCCTTTTAGTGTGGAAAATACGGTACATAATTCCTTCATGTCTAAGGCTAGGAAAGAGAGTCAACAAAGACCACTTAAAAAAAAAAACCCAAACTTATTTATTTATTTATTTGCCCTGACGCATTTTCGGTCCACAGAGTCCATTGTACACAATGGAAACCAGTCCTGACCTTTTTCACAATGCGTTAGGACACTCTTTTGGTGGAAAGTTGACACAGCAGTCATTGAAATTTTCTACAGGGGCACTGTCTCCAGGGTAATTCTGTTGGCATAGTTTTGGGATGCCCTTTGTGGTGCATCCTACTCATTTTAACAACGGCAGTAACTTGGATTTCGCGTCTAATAAATCTACCCATGAGGATGTCTGTGTCGTGACTGGGATTTGTTCAGTGTTTATCTTCCCATTATTCGTCATTCATTATTGTTGTACTAACTTGATCCAATATACTTTACAGATGTAACAAAGAAAATTGAAGGTCAAGTTGATGCCCCCCCACAGCTCTTCCAAAAGGTAATCTCATAAACATGATCATTTTGCTTCCTCAACCTGTCAGTTGCGGTTTGAATGGAAGAAAAAAATAAGTGGAGGGTTGAGTGAACAAAATACACATTTGTTCACATTCTGTGTGACATAAAACAGCATATAAAAAATAATCTAATTTGTACTCTGTCAATGCCACCTTTGGTACCTGAGTGTCAACCACCACAAGAAGGTTAACGTAAAGTATGGTATAATGTAAACCACTGGTCCTAAACTGTTGTCACCCTTGGACCCCATAGTGACACACACACACACACACACACACACACACACACACACACACACACACACACACACACACACACACACACACACACACACCTATCACTACGTGGTCCAAGGGTGACAACAGTTGAGGACCGGTGGTTTACATTATACCACACTTTACATTATCCTTCTCATGGATATCTTCTAATTTCCACAATTGTTGACTGATTGAAGCTATTCAAACTGCAAATTGTTCAACTCATTCCCCTTGCCAAAATTTAACATTGTTTAAAAATAAGAGCCCCATATTAAGACTGGTTTAAATATTTACCTCCAGAGTTCCACATGTTTCCATTGACTCAAATGTTATCAAAGGTATGAGAAAAAGGCTTTTTTCAACCTGGATCTGAAAGCATTTACGTGCGGCTTTGACTTTACTTCTGTTGGCAACTTATTTCATTTGTGTGCAGTGTAACAGCTGATTGCAGTTTCACCATGTTTACTTTGAGGTTTGGGCTCCACTAATTGACCAAAGTCTGCAGGTCTCAGGGCCCTTCAGGATTAATAATCAAACAGCATTTCTTTAATCTTTGAAGTCATTGATAGACCATTATCTGATGTTTTGAATCTGTTTTACAGCTATTTGGGAGCCAACGTAAAGCCTTTAGGACTGGAGTAATATTTTCTGATCTTTATTCTGGTTAGAACCCAAGTTGATTTATTTGCAGGGCACCAAGACTTATTCTGTTGAAGGTTGTAGGTTTTGGCATTCAAGGGAAGTGAAGTTACTTGTTTTGGCAACCACTGTATGCCCCTGGTACAAATATAAAAAAAATTACAACTTCAATAAGAAGAATAATAGAAACTAAAAATTATCTTTTGAATATACACTTTCACGGTTAACTACAAGACAATTTACTTATTAAGTCAACACATACCGATTCACCCCTAAAACAGTGAGCACAAAACCGAGAACTGAATCAAACTGTGGATTTTGTGAACCATTCGGCCCATAATATGTCTCTCTCTCTCTCTCTCTCTCTCTCTCTCTCTCTCTCTCTCTCTCTCTCTCTCTCTCTCGTGAATGTACGTGTGGCAATTTGCCTAAATCTAATTTCAATCGATCATCATCAGGTGCGAGATGTGGACCAAAGTGTGGATTGGTTCAAGGACGGCATGAAGTTGGAAGCTATTGACCCTCTCAATCTCTCAGCGATATGTGTAGCCACTGTAAGAAAGGTAAGTGTATCCTGTATATTTGGTATTTGTGTAAAATATTAACATCACATGCTGTTAAGGTGTTGGCAGATGGGTATCTTATGATTGGAATTGATGGTTCTGAAGCGGTTGATGGATCAGACTGGTTCTGCTACCATGGCACCTCACCCTCCATCTTCCCCGTTGGCTTCTGTGAAATCAACAGCATTGAATTGACCTCCCCTCGAGGTACTGTATACCCGTATTTAATTCATTCAGATATTTAAATTGGCTTTTCTTAACACAAAATGGGTAAGAACATGTATATTAACTACATCAAATATCTTTTTGTAAATTGTTTTTGTGGTTTCAACTCTCTGCTGCAGGTTACACTAAGCTGCCATTTAAATGGTTTGACTACCTCAGAGAAACTGCTTCAATAGCTGCTCCTGTAAAGCTCTTTAACAAGGTAGGCAAGATCTTAGCATTGAATTACAATTCAAACCATACATTTTTGGAATGAAAAAAGAAATGGAAGCCCACATGGTGTGAATGTTTGGAATATGTTGATATTGGAATAAGGTGAATTGGATCAATTACGTGGAAGCAGGTGCATGTCAAAAAAGTGGGAGGCCTCGGGGTGTAAATCCCCTGTGCAGCTAATGTCCCTTTCCAAGATTACCGCCACACAAGGGTAGCCTAGGGATGAGAATCCTGGGCATAGCTAATGTCGCTGTCTAAGATGGCCACTCCACTGAGTGGGGGTTAGGGGTAGGGGCTTGGGGCAACTATCCCAGTTGTACCTCATGTCCCTGTCCAAGATAGCCAGAGCACTGGTGGGGTGGAGGGTTAGGGGGATTTCTGGGCAAGAATCATGTGTGTAATTAACATCCATGTATAAGATAGCCACCGCAGGGTGGGGGGAGAACCAAGAGACGCGAATCTTGGGTGTCTGTATTGTCCCTGTCCAAGATGTCCGCTGCACCGTGTGGGTCGAAGGCTGAGAATCCTTTGTTTTGCTAATGTCCCTGTCCAAGATGGCTGCCGCACCTTGGTGGTTCTTGGGCAAGAACCATGGGTGTAGCTATCATCCCCGTCCCAGTTGGCCGCCACACTTGGGGGTTCTGGGGATCAGAATGCGGAGTGTATCTCAAGACCCTGTCTAAGTTAGTCGCTACACATGAGGAGAGTGAGGGATCGTTCTTTGGCTGAGAATCCTGAATGTAGCTAATGCCCCTGTCCAAGATGGCTAACGCAATGGGAGTTGGGGTGGCCGAGGGACAAGAATCCTGTGCGTAGCTAATGTCCCTGTCCAAGATGGCTGCCGCACTGGGGGATCCTCGGGGCAAGAAACCTGGGTGTACTTAAGGTTCTGGCCACCCCACTGGGGTTGCCAAGGGACAAAAATCCGGGTTGTACCTTATGTTTTGGCCAGTATGGCCGCCACATTCGGGAGGCCTCATGCCGAGAATCCGGGATTTACACCAATATGGCTGCACTATTTTGGACGCTGACACATTAAATTGGTTATAAAATGTCGAAATTATCAGACAAAACCCCCCAAAATTGTATTTTTATTTTGTTTATTTGATGTCAGTATTTTTATGGTGAAAATGTTGAATTTGTTGCAAGTATTTTCATGTTTTAAATCATTACCAAGGTGAACTTAACATGCTGAATGATTTACATTTTCAATTAAAAGGTTAATCTGTACAGTTGGATGTGCCTTTGGGAATTAGTTATACATTTTGGGAGGATTTTTTTTTTTGTTTTGTTTTGTTTTTTTTTTGGTGAAAATTTTGAATTCTTCCTCGCAATCACACCCTTTAAGGTTTCACTGTCAGTTGAAATTCAGCACCCCCTCCACTGACTTCAAAAAGAGTGGTACTCTGAACTGTTGTTTGGTGCATAAGCACAAACCACAGTCAAGACTCGTCCTCCCACTTTTGGGCTGATCCCAAAAGAGCAGACACCGAGCCAGGGCGTAATAAGTGTGCGCCCTTGTGCTCTGCGTCTCACTCTGTCAGCCATTCCAGAGTGGAAGATTTCAAGTCCAACCCCTTTCAAAAGGACTGGTACCAGAGCCCAAGCTATATGTCGAGGCGAGCCTGACTATATCTAGTGAAAACCTCTTGACCTCACACACAGTTCCATGTCCCCTCTAGATTTTCTCCAAAATGGACGGGGCTCCGAATAATGTGGGTCACCTTGTGTATGCACCGAGTTCCAAAATCTGTGAATGCTGTTGTGTGACTTAAATGAGGGGTCCACTTCATTGACTGAAGTGGACCCCTCATTTATAAATAGACCGATGTTTATATAGTATAGAGGAAAGGCTGATGTAATTGAGGACAGCATATATATAGATATATATATATATATACACACACGTTAAAGTGGGAAGGGTAGGCGTGAAAGAGGACGCTAAAGGCACGCCCCCAATAGGTGTATATAGTAGATATTACGTGCGTTGTGCAAAACAACATCCTCGCTCAACAGGGCGCGTGAAGTCGGCTTTTACTGTTGTGCTTTATTGTCATGGTAATGGACAGAAACGGCCAAAGTGAAGTTGGGAGCGATGGCGAACACAGCTTTACTAAGATTGGGAGGCAACGCCACACGATTAACGCCACAACTGAATGAATTCTGGAGGCTTGGGCTAGGGTGGCTGCTTGCACTGTTATTCAAGCTTTCGCAAAAGCCGACATCATTTCAGAGGAGCCGTACGGCAACAAGACTGGCTCTGACAATGAAGCGAGGGAACCTGATGTGTTTGATTGTGAACTTGTCCAGCTGTTCATTTCTGGTAAAGAATATTAGGACTTTAATGGATTTGAGGATGAGGAGTGATACTGTGAGTACATGGTTAAATACTTCAGTAAAGTACAATCGGACGGTGTTTTGCTCCTTTTTAAAAACATACGCTAGTGTGCATGTATGCTACCTTATTTTTTTTTTTTAAAACAGCGTAAGTTTGGCCATGGCTGTGTCCAATAATACAATGCATCTTGTGTATGTGTTAAATACAGAAGTAGCACCCGTAACTGACACTACGTAGTGCCTTTTAATACGGTGCGCTGTATGGCCATGAAAATACAGTACAGTGATCCCTCGCTATATCACGCCTCATTTAATGCGGCTTCGGTACAGTGCGTTTTTTTTTTCCAAAGTACTGTATTCAGTAAAAAAAATGCCGAGTGACTCAGAGGGTTTGTACATCCCTGTACGCATGATTGGTTCCCGGCGCGACGTCGACCAATGACAGCACGAGTGGATTTATCCCGTGAGCTGATTGGCTGCGCATCTTCGCAGCCCACCCAGCACCTTCCCTTGCGTCTCGACATGCTGTTGACTCTCTGATCAGTGTCTCGTCACACTGTTGACTCTGATTGTTCACCTGCCTTTCTCTGCTATACTCTTTTCTGTTGTTTGCTATGTGCGGGGGGGGGGGGGGATTGGTCTTCACCGAAAAATAGCAGCACGTCTATCTTTGCCTCCTCCTCATCAATACCGATTTATTGTCTTATCATAAACACATCGGCTGTGCGGGGATAGCCGGAGGGGGATGAAGGCTAACGGAGGCTTCACCGTCTGAGCGTAAAGTAAGAGTCGCCCTCGACGCCACCAAGACAAGTCTCTTCGCCTCACACAGAAGGCAATGCTGATGAATGTTCATGACTGTATAAGGTTATATAATTAAAGATTTCAGTAAATATGTGTACTGCTGTAGTCTTTGTCTCAAATACGTAAAGTATAATTACCGGTACTGTTTGCATATTTTAAACGTGCTGCTACCCACATACACGTACACAAAAAATCCTAGGGGGGAGCCAGCCTTCCTTCGTGGTTTTTCCACTTATCACGGCAGGGTCCCAGTCTCCATTAACTGCGCTAAGTGAGCGATCACTGTCATCATCACTTGTGGTAAACACTTTGCCCTTATTCCACAATTGATGAACACTTCAGCATTTCAAGACAGAAGTTAAATCAAATGACCACGAGAACTCACCACATAAGTCAAGCCAAATGGCCTCTAAACGGGTTTGTAATGAGCACCACAAACCTGATTTTATCCTCGATCCTGTCAGTGTGTTTAAGCTGGCACAGACTGCTCCAGTTTTTTCCTCTTGGAATTGAGAAACATTTTCACCCCCCCGCCCCCTCCCTCGAGTCCGATTCGTACACCCATACACGCAACACCTCGGCATGTTGATATTGTTTGAGACTCTTCAAAATTTATTCCAATGCCACAAAAGCAAAAAATCTTCCCTTCCAACCAACATAGGTCTGCCGCGTTTTTATTGATCCAGTGGTGTGCTTTTGATGATGTTGGATGGAAAGGACTCAATATAAAAATCAGTATGTCAAATTATCTCCCCAGAAATGTGAAATATTCATTCCCAGTTATTAAAAAAAGCTTGATTTCTGTTTTTGCTGCAGAGTGTGGGCCGACCTCTTATTAGGTTTAGAGGGCAAGTGCTTCTTCCCCGTACAGGGCCAGGTAGCTTTGAATATATTTTTCATTAATAAATCACCATTTAAAAAGAGCCTTTTATGTTTAGTTGGGTTAACTTTGTCTCTTTATATGAGTTTGGTGACCTTAAACATTATGAGAAAATGATGGAAAAAATTAAGACTTTCACAAGAGGGTAAATACTTTTGCACTCTATTTGGTGATGTGCCATGAGATTTTTTTTTCAAATGTAAAATATGTTCTGTGGCTCAATAAAATGTCAGAAAGACTGTTTTAAATGGTGGCAACTTTGTACTGACTCTATTTAACAGGACTTTCAATGTGATTGTTCAGTTTTGTACACAGCCACATGTACAATTTTCATAGTTTACCATTTTATTATGCACTGTGTTGGCCATGGCTTAAAACTCTGTAGAATATATATATATATATATATATTTTTATTTTTTTAATTATTCATGCTGCCTTGATAGGAAGTTCCCAATCATGGTTTCCAACGAGGCATGAAGCTGGAGGCTGTTGACCTGATGGAGCCACGTCTGGTGTGTGTTGCTACAGTGACAAGAATTGTACATCGGCTCTTAAGGATCCACTTTGACGGCTGGGAAGATGAGTATGACCAATGGGTTGACTGCGAATCACCTGATCTTTATCCTGTGGGTTGGTGTCAGCTGACGGGGTATCAACTTCAACCCCCAGCCTCCCAGAGTAAGAACCTGATTTCACTATAACTAGCCCAAAGCATGAATGTACCTGATGTCTTGCTCCACAGTGTATGACATAATTAATGCAAGATGATTTCATCTAATTTTTGTGTGGCAGTAAAGAATGTTACTTAAAAACCTTTGTTTAAGGGTTTATCACGTTAACAGTTTGACACTAGAATGGATTATTACGGCTAGAGCACCTGCTGCTGCAATGTCTCTATCATCCATCAATCCTTTTGCAACCTTGTCTTAAGTGTTTCATCTGATTTGCTGCAAACTTTGTCCCATGTCAAGCCAAGGACATTAAGAGCAATTAAAAAAAAGTATAGATATATTTTTTAACGTGCTATATCAGGCTGCGTCCTCCCAGATCGCCAACTCACCAATGACAAGCGCTGCAAACTTTGTCCCATGTCAAGACCAAGGACATTAAGAGCAATTAACGTGCTATATCAGGGTGCGTCCTCCCAGATCGCCAACTCACCAATGACAAGGTGAAATAGGGAGTGGCGAGTTAAATATTTCCCATGCTCATCACACTGGTAACTGGCCAATTTGAGAAAATTGCACTGAGGGAACCTGACTACGCACCATTAATGTCCAGATACCCCCTCCCCCCCAAAAAAAACCTGTACGAAAATGCAAATGGCAAACAGTGCCCCAAATGATCGGTTGTAGTATAAATCACAACCTCGCTTCAAGCCAATGACGTATTGTTTACAGATGCCGGTGGCATGCTTACGATGTTAGCGAGTTAGCACTTTTGTTGAGATACCAGAATGGATGTAAATCCAAATACTGTATTGTCGGTTTCTGCCCCCACCCCCCCCCAAAAAAAACACCCAAAAAAGTCTACCTTCATTAGTACTCACATCATTGTACAATAACATCGTGGTCCTAAGTGTTCTTAAGAAAATGGCAGAGGTTTTATTTCTAAAGCACAGTTCAGCCTCTAACACTGAATGAATGAATCATACTCCGATAAATGCAATTAAAAAAATGTATTAACACTGTGCTTGAATGTAGGAAAATTGAAAAATGTCGTCATGATTACATTTAAATGTACTTAAAATGTTGAATGAAAATCATACTCCGATAAATGCAATTAAAAAAATGTATATTGAAACCACAAGAAAAGAGTAAGATCAATTTAGTACTGAATTGCTGGGATGTAGCATAGAAAAAGAACTCTTTTTCACCACCTCAGTTGTCCCAATTTTTAGTGTTTTGGGGGGGTTAAACAAGAATAACATGATCCAAAGACGGAACACCATGAGTCGTCCTTCACCGATATATCAGTACTCTTTTCATAAATGAATGTGATGAAATTAACGGAGGTTGGCAATGCAGTCAAACCTCGGTTTTCGAACGTCTCTGTTTTCGACCAAAGCGGATTTCGACCAGAAAATTTGAGATTTTTACACCTCAGATTACAACCAAAAAACGTTTTTCGACCAAACTGAGCAAACTGTAATACGCCACTTGACTCCTCTTGGCTTCGAAATGACGCTTCCTCGTGTAACGTTCATTGTGAGCAGACGTGTTTGTTGTGATTTACGCAAATCTCACTGTTTTTTGTTATTTCCGCATAGTGTATTAGGCCCTAATCATGGGCTAATAAAATTTCGGATTTTTAACAAATCGCTTTTCGAACAGCCTTCTTGAATGGCTTTTTGTTGAAAACCGAGGTATGACTGGATACAAAATTCTCCGCCCCCTCTAAAAAAAAATACGAAGTTGGAGTCCAACAGACGCAAAATCCAATGTGAGTAAAATGGTCAATGGTGTGCACTATCTATGTGTGTATCTACATCTTACGGTGTTTACACAAAGAGCTGTACAAACACACACATACTTGTACACTCACATACATTTCACACACTTGCCAATCTATTGAACTGTAAAAGCACAGTTAGCGGGAGCACGCTGGTAGCTGTGTGCAGCTGTTTTTAGTCCTAAAATACCAAAAAGTTTGAATTTGAAGGTTAAAGTGGCTTACCTTAACCAGAATCCAGCTCATTGTACCCATGTAGTACACTCCTACTCCCGTCTAAAAAAATGCTTCTCATTGTGGTCATCTCCGTCTTCTTGGTTCATTGGTGAATTACAGCTCTATGTTGCATACTGCCACCCACTGTACAAGAAGCTGCAAGTCTTTCCATCTGTAGTCGCTTGACGCAACCCTGCTCACCACAAACAAATACAAGACAGTCTTCAATATAATTTCAGCAAAATTTAACAGAAAACGGAAAATTTGCTTACAGCTTAAGATTTGCTGCATGTTTTGCAGAGCAAACCTTTCTCACTCGAAAAAGAAAATATCTCACCCAATTTCAATGATTGTTCTTCTATTTGCACATACTCCCACAGCCATTCCAACTTAAAAGAACCGCAGTTCATTCTTATTTTGGTTTGGGGAGTCGACATATCACGTTCACTGCCCGGTCGTTTCGCCATGATAAAAGATTAGCATTAGCGTCACTTATTGTTGCCGCACTGTTATTGTTATGGAGCAGAGAACATGCGCAAGTACTGTCAATGCCGTGATTGGCTGCATAGCGTCATTGCATCGTATCGTGTGATTGGCTGGGCACCTGTCACTCACTGAATTACGCAGCAAATTGATACAGAAAAAAAAGTAATGTATCTAATTCATTTGCAGTGCGTTCCCTGCCCTGGATATGTGTTCTTGTGCGCTGAGTGTGCACGACCTGCGCACTGAGAGGGAACATTGGTGCCGTTGCCTCTCAGGTAAACGTAATCTAAATGAAAGATACCTTTCGTTGTATTACCTCGCGTCAGAAACTTCGCTTTCTCGAAGCATAAGGCAGTTTCCTAGCTGCTGCTGCTCCCTACCGGTATGGAATGGTACTACATGATTACTCTTTCAGGGGATCCGCACAGGCATACATATTGTATAATTTCCCACGGCACACCTGACAATACCCGCGGCACAGGGTTTGAAAAACACTGCATTACAGTGTCAAATATTGAAGACATAATGTATTACCATTTATGATTTAGAGCAGGGGCCCCCAACCTTTTTGCCCCACGGACCGGTTTATGCCAGACAATATTTTCAGGGACCGGCATTTAAGGTGTGACGGAAATATTACAACAAAATAATATGGTATGAGCTGCATGAAAACTGTGGTGTTTTCGAAATATAATAATAAAAACAAGGAGCGTCTAATCTGGCCGCAACACTCCGATCGCTATGGCAATGTTTAATGCCTTCAAAATACGATACAACGCAAATTCAAAGTGCATGAAAATGACGACTCACCACAGCACGAGCTTGATTTTCTGCAACCAGACGGTCCCATCTCAGGGTACTCGGAGACAATGACACCTCAAGTGTGTCGTTTATGTCCAGTCTACTTCGTAATTTTGTTTTCGTCGCCGTTGCTGCAGAAACCCCCCGCCTCACACAGGTAGGATGTCGGAAATAGCAACAGTGCTATTGTGGCGATCTCAGAGTATTCAGCCATAGCTTTAATCCAGTTGTCTCAAACGTACTTTTAAGGCCGCCATCATTTGCGATCTCCAGCAGTTTTTTTTACTCATTTTGCGAGCTCCTGCGTTTTGTTTTGAAGTAATCAGTCACGTGATGGAGAAGCGTGGCTTGACGTGTGTCAAGACGTGTGTCTTGACGTGTGACACAGATGGATGTAACGGAGAATCCGGTAGTTTTTCCAAAATAAAACATCTTTCGTATTCCGAAATAAATAAAACGGAATTAAGGCAAGTTCTTTCTGTGCGGCCCGGTACCAAATGCCCGGCGGACCGGCGGTTGGGGACCCCTGATTTAGAGTAATGATTGAACAGTATGCGATTGAACCGTATGCATAGTTATTTTTATCCTTTTACATATTAAGTTATCGCAGCTTGACCCACATGATGCTATTTAGTCAACATTTCACACGTTCATGAGAGTCCACACTTGAAAACAACTACAAAAACCATAATTTTGGACGCTAACATTTTTACAACCCTTCACTTGTCCTGAGCAACTAGTGTATTAATGTAATTGATGTAATTTTCAGTCAAAGTACTGATTTTGTAAAATGTCTTTTTTGTCATTGTAAGCATGTAACAAAGAAATAATTGTCCATCAAGTGCATTGAAAAAATAATAAACAATAAAACTATAAGAAACAGTGCTATGTAAAAACTGAGCACGAGAGGGGCACTCTTATGTTGTATTACAGTATATGTAATGGCAGAAGATAAAAGCAGAATAACATCCTTAATGTTACGGTATTGCGATTTGAAATGAGTGTTCAAAGTTGTGACGGCTCTGTGGAAAAATTGTTTCTGAATCCGGATGAACGGGCTCTGGCAGACATGCATCGCCTTCCCGAGGGAAATGGCTGAAAATGTCTGTGACCGGGATGTGAGGACTCCTGAATAATTCTGCTCTGCTGAGGGAGCGAGATGAGACAATATTTTGCAATCAGGGCACAGAGCAGAAAATGATCTTTTTTTCTGTCGAGCAGATGCAGTGACTTCTTCCTTGCCTCAGTGTGGCCTGCATACCATGCTGTCATACATCATGTAAAAATGCTCTCTTTAGTGGAGCGGTAAAATGCCACTGGCAACGTCTCCTTCAGGTTGTTTCTTTTCAGAAGTGTTTGCGAATGCAGTCACTGCCGTGCCTTTCTGATGACGGCCGTGGTTTTAATTGACAAGATTTACCTCATATTGGCTCGGAAGCGTGTATAGACCTTCATAATGTCCCAAAATCCACAGATGGATGAACATGATTTTTTAATAAATGGCTCACTAGCACCCCCTAGAAATTTGTAACAAAGCAGCCCCAAGTTGTATGATTCACCTAGAGCAGGGGTCTCAAACTCAGTTTACCTGGGGGCTGCAAAAAATGCATTTAGTAAAAACAGAAAACAGAAAAAAATGTTTGTTTATATATATATATATATCTATCTCAGTGGCGTGCGGTGAGGTTCATGGTTGGTGAGGCACTGACTCCTTTAGAGTCAGA